TCATAGAACATTTTTTCATTAAACAGATAAAACCTATTGACAATTTTTGTCCCTAAAAATAAATTCTAACATGATCGACTTTGAAATTGTCCGCGATCGACCGTTTGGCCGCCTCTGATATAGACAGTTGAATTAATATTGTATACTGTACACAAACTATATCCATTACGATATAAATCCATGCTATTAAGTAGTCTTGTTTCTTAATTGTTTAGTGATTGTTAAAGACTTCAATAAAAAGTAAAAATTATAATCAAAATAATGTCTTAAAAGTTATTATTTTTATCTAAACAAATAAATATTCATTATAATGAAATAAAAGTATAAGTATTGTTTAAAGTCAGCCCATGTTTGGTCAATACAAAGTCCGTTGTTTATACTCATTTTATACATGCATAATAAAATATAATACCTATATCATGGCATCAAGTATACAAATTAATATTTTGACTCCACAGGTTAGGTTAGCCTTTATTGGTGGAATATCTAAACGACGGTTCATCGTTTCGATTTTTCGACGAATATGGTCATCTTAAGTATTTTATATAATAGTGGTAATATGTAACCTAGCTGTATAGGTAACCTAACCTATAATATGGTAATATGTTGTTAAATAGAAACTTAAAAATATATTATATTTTACTGTATAAGTGCAAAGTGCTACCAATATTGAGTTACCTATTCAGCTAGGTGCTTTAATTATAAGTGCCTGATCTCAGGTTTAAATAAGAGTCGTTGGCAGTGGCTACATAAACATTTATTTTCTCTATCTCGCGTACGGTAATATAGCACCAGAGTTATTCTGTACATCCAAGATAATCACTCTCTGGTTTGGTTTAGGGCAAAGTAACTGATTTTATATTACATAAAAAACAATATTTCCTGTGAATATACCATATACGTATGCGTGTTTGTCATAATTATAAACTCTACTTAAAAGTTGTGATTGGACCATATTGTTAAGAATTCCTATACTGTAATCTAGGTTAGAATATTCTGTACTAAAATATTCAATCAAGTCAAAATATCCAAGGTAAAATAACCAGCTTAATATAATAATTTGTTTTTCATTATATCTGATTAGATAAATACCTTTATTTTTTGTATAATATATTTTCGACAGTATAATAATTACAGGGTAATTACTAAAAACATTATATTTTAAATTTAAATTGTCGTCGAAAATCAATATTATAACGTACGGTGTTGTTCAAATTATATTCAGGAGATAAATGTCTTTTATTTAGGCCGACGATAAGGAGTCTCTAGTATCATTGATTATACATTTATAAATACTATAGTATCCATAATATAATATGATGTTATATGTATGGTTTCGTTTAAAATGGGTTGCACTCTGATTATTAATGTATAATATTTTTCTAATGGTATCTAAAGGTAAACGCAGGGTATATTTCAAGTCATTTTTTTTATACATTTATAGTAGGTATGCAAATATGCAATCATAAAATACTCACCCGTCATAATGTCATGTACCTACTTATATGTTATACACTATTGTTACATTAATTCGTATTGTGTAGAAAATTCAAAAAAAACCTGTAATGGTATGCTTAATACTTAAAATTTTGTTCATTATTGATATTCCTTATTTATTAGTAATTACGTGGTTAGATTTATTGACATGTATTATCGTGCTCACCATTATGAAATGTGTTGTTAAAGATCATTCACTGTTAACATGTAAATTCCATCTGGTTATCGTGAAGAGAATTAAAATTTGTTTACAATTTTCATATATTATTGCTTTTTTTTTAAAGTTGTAAGTCAAAGTATTACTACCGAACGAAACTCTCAATTTATAGTTTAAGCGTTTACAGTTGTATTTGGAATATTGTTTTCCTAAAGCAATTTTTTTTTTAAATTCGACAGAATCAAAAATAACTTAATATAAAAACAGGGATTTCATACATAATACATAGTACTATAATCTAATTCCTATCTATATACGCTTATTTGTAAGTGTTCAGCAGAACTGTTAAATATTACCTTCTATACGTCATATATTTTTGAAGCGTTTAATCATAAAATGTGCTTGTGTAATAATGCCAAATTGTGTGAATCATACCTCTTTTGTACCCACCTACCACACACACACACATACATACTACAAACACATAATCTTTCAAAGTCTTGTACGCGAAATGGTTTCTGTGACAAACTAAATAATATTCATTTTTTTTAAACTGTTTTTTAATTACGTATAATTATTCCGTTAAAAAATAAAAATACTCGATATTATAAATATCCAATATACATATAGTTTAAGTATAGGTACGTTCACTTGTAACAATGAGTCGTGATGCGGAGAGTAAACAACTTGCGTCAATTATCGATAACGACACGGTGCAGCGATATAATATATATGATGTATATACATACTGATATATATATTTGTTTAAATATTATATGTATATATATATATATATATTATATTAGTTGTATGCTATACGATCGGGTCCAAGGTTGACAGTAAGTCCGGTGAGCCCAATATACACATATATATATTTATATAAGTACATTCACACACACACACACACACACACACACACACACACACACACACACACACGATACGCGTATCGTAAGTACCTAATATATTATATTATTACGACAGCTATATAGGCAGCGTTGCCACCACGTAGAATCGAGTGACCTATAATATATATTATATGTATGTATGTAAGTACATGTATGTGTTTTATTCCATAAACTGTGCCGTAAAGACCGAAGTTTGTGGTTTTCGCCGTTTTGAAATTTAACTGCCTATTTAAATATAATAATCGAAAAGGAAAATAATAAAAGTGATCAGGAATCGATTGATCGATTTGATCTTTTATCACATTGTTTGAAATGTTTCCGATAAAATAATATTATAATGTCAGAAAAATAATACTTCTTTCATAGAAACTAAATGAGTTGGAGTCGTGCAAATGTTCACCCTCACTACTGATTTTTACTGTCGAATTTTCAATGGCAATTTTTTATTTATGTGATGTGATGACAATACATGCGTTTCAGTGTCTAACAAATCTTAAACATATCGGTTAGGTTGAGAAAATAACGGGTTTACTCGATTCTTGGTTGTAAGTTTATAAAAATTAAGTTAAGAAGATGTCGTACCCTCAATTGTTGTCTTCATCAGCTTAGCTAGAGCTCAATCAAGGAAAAGGGCTTTTTAAATACTATATTATTGTATTACCAAATACAGGCTATAACTGTGATTAAAACATCATTTGCAGTTTAAAGTTTCAAGGGTCGCCTCCACCCATCACACCCTATGTTAACCTAATATTATTGGTACCTATGTTATGCGTTGGTAAGATTGAGACAACACAACATACGAGTACCGACATCCTGTTATATAGTAGCAAAAATAAGAAAATCAATAAAAAAAATTAAAGCTGAGATAAAAAACCAACTCAACCTACGTTAAAAATCTTATAAAATCATTAACTTTCAGCCGTAAATATGAATTACGAGCGTTCCAGTTAGTGTACTCCATAAGTATTAATATAATATATGAGAATATAATATGACGTTATAAATATTACACAAACAGAGATCGATACAGTTATGAATGTGAGCCATGTTGTCGTACGGTGTACATATATTCACAAACATATATATTACTGTTACACGTATTTATAATTTTTTATTATAATATTAAAACATCGTCGAACAGGATCGTTTGTGAGTTGTGTTCGTATCACGTATAATACTTACTATATATGAGGTGCAGTTCAGTCGATATACGATGTGTATAGTGCGTTTATCAACAACTAAATAAATAACATCAATATCGATATAATAATACAATAATTTGTTAGGCGCATTATTAGTAGGTATATAATACAGCTGGCGTGTTAATACAATGTACGGTACTTCTACCACTATACCGATCGTGTACCGGCGCGATAAAGGTCAACAAATAAGCACGTCCGATTTTTGAAAACCGAACACAATATAATATATTTATGTGCAATAGATGATTAAATATTATATATCATATTGTGTGATACTCCGACGACGTGATTATGTATTATTTTTATTATTAAGTTACTCGTATGTTTTTCATATTATACGCAGGTACACGTTTTTCTGCAGCGTCTGCTGTTGCAGTTCCGCCGCGGGATAGGCCGCGTTTACTTTTGTGCACAGCATTACAATATGTTGCTGTGGTGCAGGAGAGAAAATACGCGACACAAAATTTATCAGGCAGGCACACTGAGCGTTATTAGATTGCACAAATAAAACATTATTGTACGTTTGTATGTAAGGAATCGTTTTTTGTATATACACAATACCCTTTCACGTCGTGTAGCCCATTTTTTCATACTTTATTAACATCAACTTATTAGCATAATTCACATATCAATTATTATTACCATCGATTTCAGACGACAACCCTACACAAGTATAGGTAGTACAATCGTGTAAAACAATATTTAACAACTATACAACGATTACATATAAACAATAATAAAAATAAAACGAAATAAACAAATCTCATTAATAATTATAATAATAATAATAATAATAATAAAAAAACATTAATTATTACCTAATTCTAAAAAAAAAAAAAATGGCTGAAAAATAAGAAATTGTACACACAATTTCTTTACCACTTAAAGAGAATTCTAAGCCCGTCGTTGAAACATATATAAATAGAAGACGAGTTAGAAACTTTTCGTTGATGATGGTTATATAATATAATAATATAGACACGTGACATGTTATACCTTTATACCTATTGAATGTTATGTGATTTTACAGAGACAAAAACTGTAAGCCGACAATAGTCGGTGACACACTTAAGCTCCTTAACTATATCAAACACGGAAGTAAGTTCCGGATAATATAATATACTTCGTTGAACGACGATATCGAAATCTGACGAATAGCGAAAACTTGTCTTATTCTATCGTCGCTCGTTGTTATCTAGATGAGTTATTTATCGTGAATCCTCGATCGATAAAAAAAATATATATTTTTAAATTCTTTCTTTATATCAGCTAACATATATTAGTTTCCGTGTACAGATAATTGCATGAGCCAAATGTATGACAAATATCATTCACGCAAACTATCCACGCCATTGGAACATTGAAAATTACTACATAAATAATCATTAAAATTTCACTCGCAGTCATTATTAAGCGTTAGAGCAGGTTTATATATTGTATACAAAAATGGCACTGATATTTATTTTCCTGGATAATTCGGAAGAAGTCAAATGAATAGAGGTGGTTCAGCGGTAATGTGTGGAGATAGATGTAACACCAAATATTATTTAAGTATAATATCAACCATCATAGATTTTAAAGTACCCAAGACGAGACATTAAATATATTTTTAGAATCTTAACTCTCAACGTTTCTAAGTTCTAACTGTCTTCCATTTTCATAAAAAAAAAAAAATAGTAATAATAATAATAATAATAATCAAAATAAAAATAAACATTTTAGCACTATTTACTTAACAGATGTCTGTGCGTGTACATTACTGTGGCGTGGGCCAATAAATATAATATGCGAAACAGCACTTTGTACGTTTCTGCGCCCAGTTTAAGTCGCGTCTTACAATTACTTAGTTTTAACGTTTTTAATGTTACTTTAATAACGGCGTATTAATAATAATTATAATAATAATAAACAAATGATATATATTTATGGAAAAAACATCTGTACACAAACGGGTGTTCGGTTTTTGATATTTAGTACTTCGTAATCATCTAAACATATACATAGCTAATGTACAACATATTATTTTATGCTCATCGAGTCTAAAATATACATATTATTATAGGCCAGATCGCGGGGTTGAGTTCAAAATAAAACCAAGGACAATAATTTAGTGAAGCGTATTTTAATTACTGTTTTAAACTGGAACGAGCGAAGAAAAAAAATTTCGTTTTAATAATTTTGTCATTATTTTGTATGCGCTGCGTACCGGAGAAGCACATATAAACCGTGTAATTTATACTGAAAAATCTCGAACCTTAAGTGTAGCAGTGTATTGTAGAAGTGTGGGCACTATATAATGTAGCATTATAATGTATAATATGGTTGAAAAGTGACTACTCAAAGCGGTCAATAGGCCGTAAAAGAAATATGTTTGGAAAAGCGCCAACTGCGATGGTGTTTGGAGTGAAAAATATTTTCACCGTAGTTATCGCGTATCTCGGATGATAATTATCGAAAATAAAAATAACAACGTTCTGTGTTCAAAATAAATATTGATGATATGTACGCGAGCGGAGTGGGTGTGGTTTTTAGGCGACCGCGGAATGGAATAATTTTACAAAATGATGGTAATTAAGAAATTGACGTCGTACTGAAAAAGTAATGCGTATTATGTCTATGTGTGAATTTTGTGTGTAATGTAATAATATCGTAGAAACTGATGCTATACCTATATATATAGATGCTGTAACGATTTCGGTTTTCCGGGTAACTATAAAATTTTCAAAATATTACATTGGTTATGTACAAACAATATTACTATTCTCTCGAAATTCAAACACTTAGGTATAATATAGGTTAAACACCTATATTATATACCTTTTAATTATAATAATGACAAAAATAAAGCAATTTTAACTGTACGTTGTAAACGAGAAAAGTCTTACACGTCTTTCTCGGTAGATACGATTCAGTTGTACTTACATGTTATAAATTTATAGTGTGATAACATAACAAGTACCTATGTACGAGTTGGAATATTATTATAATTATTATTATTAAGCTTACGCCGATCATAATATATTATATTATTGTATACGTTGGTATACATTTCGGGAAAAGTCTTTTGGCGTTGAGAAGAAAACAGAAATATTTTTACTGTACAATAACAAAAAAAAAAATTCAAAAAAAAAAATCGCATAGGCACTATTAAATATAAATATATAACTACTGAAAAAAAAAAACAAAACAAAACAAATTACTTTATTAGTCTTATCCTTTTGTTATCGAAGTTAATCTGTGTATGATTTCAAGTTCGCGATGCTCGTGAACCGTAATTATTGTTGGCGGACGTTGGTAGACACCTGAGAAAAAAAATAAAACAATTACTCATATTGTATTTTATATTGTATGATATCATATTAAATTAATTGTTACGGTAAAAATATGAAATTCTCTATTTTTCAATTTAACGCTTACTACTTATTTTAGTTTTTAATTATAAGTAGTTGAAGTAGTTAAAGTATAGATACCTATACAATTATTACTTTGATATTGAAAATATTGACTATAGGTACTCAGGAATAATAATTAATTTCATATTTGGATTATGTTGCACATACATTTAGACCAAATAGAAAAATAGACAAAAAATAAAGGAAATGACAATTTCAGTATAAATAGGTATCTGAAAATTTAAGGAATATAAAAAAATACCTACAATCATTTCAGGCATTTTTAAATAGTATAACTAGTTCACAATAATTTTAAAAATTAAGTTGGTTTATTAACTGCCCGTATTTGAATCGTACAATACCTGATTATGCGTATTATTTTATTTGTTTTAGTACAAGATGATTGAAAAATGTAAAAATAGCACGTGATTCGTGTATATACTCTTATGTATACGCTTAAGACTTAGACGTGTAGTTGTAATAAAATATTATAGGCAGTACTGTACAAAATATAACTGAAAAATCACGGGAAACGTATAAAATATCTAGTTAGATTATATATTATATTATGGTTTATCACCTTCACTCGGTTACTGCGTACAAAGTGCCATCATTTCATTGTTCAACGCTAACATGTGTATCATGTTGTTGACCGGTGTAAAATAATGTTGTATAATAACAAGTCCGAGGTTAAAAATCTTCTCCTCCCCGCAAAAAAAAAAAATTCCTCTCTATTCCGACTCCCGCAAAATCGCAATTAGCGCATAATAGAGCCTACACGCGCGCGAGTCTTGAACAACTATCGCGGTCTGAATGGCGAGTCGTTACCGATGGCCAATTCTCGGACGGTCAGTTAACCACCACACTAAACTACCCCGCCAAAGAGTGTGTCGTGTGTGTCGTGTGTGTGTGTGTGTGTGTGTGTGTGTGTGTGTGTGTGTGTGTGTGTGTGTGTGCAAGTCCGATACACTTCACCGACATCAATCGAACGATATATAACTATACTGTTTCCCGCGCGTGGTCCGTGTACACGCATATATATATATACATACCATGCATTCGCGGTAAGTTGCACCACCCCATCGTATGCAGTGTTAAACGCCGCAACGAGATAGAAATCGATGGTTTAACAGACTCACCGAGTGTTATAAACCGCACTGCTATTGCTATATATATATATATATATATATATATATTCGTACAGGGTGATTCACCGACCATGCTAACTCCCGTTTTTTTCTTTTAATAGTGAATTTATCCAAATTCTGATTTGTGAAGCCATAAGGACACCTACTTAAGGACCGCTCATAGATTTTTATCCTATTCGTGGAGTGTCCTGTGGCGATTCAAACTTCTTCTTTCAAATGTGTATCGACATTTTTTTGCTATAAATAATTGTTAAGCAGATGATTTTTTCGAACATTTTAAAGCATCTTGATCAAAAGTTAAACGAGTTGTTTCCGACTTATTCAAATGTACACACTTAAGATAATCGTTCGTAAAAAATAGTTTACGGAAGCAATTTTTCTTGGAATCTTTATTTTATACTTTTTTATTAGAATATTTTACTCTGGCCAGTTCCAACATGTATATTTGAATAATAACACTAATTTTGATTAATGAGTAATGGGAAATAAACTATAAAACTATAATATTATAATTTAATTATAACGGTGTCTTATTTGTACCTAATTACTTTTTCTTTTCTGTAAAAAGTATAAATATGTATTTATTTTAAAATGTTTTTGTATTTATTTCAACGTGTTTTTAGAGCGTATTGCATTTTTTGGGACATATTCTTATTATTATAATCACATATTTTTAAGTTTCCATTAGACATTAGACCCAATTTTCAAAATTCAGATGATTATAACGATATTTTAGAAATGTATTGTAGTCGATTTCTTATTTCATTAACCACATTATATTTTAATCACTACATTTAAAGTAGATAATTTCTATAGCACGCCATTATTAATTGGCTATGCACAATAATACATGACAAAATGTTTTAATGTAATTTATTGACACTAATGATACTATTGTTGTACAATACCTATTCAAAGACCAAAGTGCTAACCTTGGAGAAAAAAACATTTTATCTGGACATAATATATAATATACCCGGTGTCCTGGTTGAACAGATATATTTTTGTGATTACTCGTTTAAAACGGAAATTATTAATCCATTAAAATTCTTGTAGTCCATTACACAGTCAATTTAAGTATATTTCCTTTAATTTACTATTCTTTTAACTATTGTGGGTTTGCAAATAAAATAATAATTAAATCAACAAACTTAACAGGTCAATATGAGTGGCAACACAAAAAAATAAGAACGAGAAACATTTTTAAAAATATTTTGGACTTAAAATTTGTTACTAAGACAGTAATAACTCTTAAAATATTCTTTCGATAATAAATATTGATCTAATAAAGTATAATATTATATAATATAATGTCTACACTAAAAAATAATGTATAACTTTTAATTTAAATAATATTCCTATGGTGATTAGATTTTTTTATGATAGGATTGTTTCGTAGAATTTCCACACGTCCAATCAAATATGTTTTATTGTAGCTTGTGTAGAAAACAAAATATATAATAGGTACCTAGAAATCATAATAGCATAATATATTATTCGATTAATGCGAAAACATATTTTGTTTTTCATATCTCAATAATAATACCTGTTTATAGACTTATAGAGTATAATAAAGACTATAATAAAGACAGTCTAGTCGGAAGGTTTATCATAATAATTGCAATTAGTCTGTTCAAAAACTATTAAACTATTTATATTTAAATAATTGTCAGTGTTTTAATATTTTAACACGCGATATTATTATTATTATGTGATGCACTGGTGTTGAAGTCTGATACAGTTTGGAGAGTGTATTCTGCAGAAACTATAAACAAATCGGTAATCATTATTATTTATTTCGAACGAGACCAACTCGTGTCTGCGACGGAGTGTTATTATTAGTACACATTACAATATATCCAACAAACGTTTCTAAACTACTTTTTACGAATTTGTTTTGACTAAAAAATCTAAAAATTACATGCCGAATATTGTAGCCGGTTCACAGGTTTGGTTACACGCATGGAATATTATTTTCGCATACATAAAAATCTTGTTGGTGACCTATTGAACATTTATACCGAATGTAGAGTTGAGTGATATTATAATGTCGTGCACATCACATCAAATAAGTAAAGTACCTACGTGCGACATGATCAACGGAAATTTCAAAATCATTAACGGTACAATATAATATAATATAACTAATGAGTAACATTTTAATTAGGCGTACCTACATGAAGAGTTTCTAATTTAAATTATTGCTTGTTTTTGAGAGCTGTGCAGTCTACATTCATGAAAAGCTATTTTGAATCTACTCTATCGACCGGCAAAATACGTGACACTTAGCCGCTATAATATAGCTGTCACTCGTCGGTCAAAGTGTTAATGTTAGATTATTTTTCTTCTCTTATTTCACTGGAGTCTGATAATCGATCGAAAAGCTTATATTAGTATTCGTTTGCAAGCGAGAAACTACTATTTCTGACGAAACAAGAAAATCTCTCTCGCGGTTATGAATTTATGATGATGATAATTCCATAATATTATGACGTATTGTTATACGCATATTATATATAAATATACCTATGGATACACACTATACAGATATAATAATTACTCGAATTCGCTCGTTTCCTATATCGTGTTTCTATACATATATATAATATTATATTACACATATTACGCATTCGATGCTGCAGTATACTCGTTACGTATAGGTTTGTTACAATGTTCGCGTCCCGAGATTATATTATTATCACAATACAAAATACTATTATCGTACATGCACATGAAAAAAAAACTGCAATTTAGATATTTTCTCATACCTACATGGCTACACGTATTATAAGAAACAAACTAGGACAACGACGGCGGGGGAGGAGCAAGCGTTATTGTATGCAATCAGTCTATGCCTCTAAATACGAGATAATATAATAGTAGGTATGCACAAGATGCATTTTCAGGTAAAACATGCATACAGAGTGATTCTTTTATCGACTGACACTCATTATAAACATTTTTCTTTCAAATTTTTAAAAATTTAAATTTGTTTACCCTTATTTTTTATTGGTTAAGCCACTATCACCTTTTGATTTTCAAATTGCGACCTTTAAGTACCCTCTGTAAATATCATAAATTATCAACTCAATTTTTTTGTGAATTTTTACTAAAAATTTTTTATTTTTCATTAATCTGGGGCGTGTTAAGATACAGCTGTTCAAAGTTAGATGCCATTGCGAGTCGCTAATGTTAACAGTAGTTGTTAACAGTTGAATATATGAGTAAATAAGTTCGATATGGATTGAACCAAGGTAATGATTGAGTAATAATAACAATTGATAACCTACATTGTATCTACAATAATTGATTGTCATGAACTTTTGTAATTGAACTATTAATTACCACTGTTTAGCACTTGGTCAGGGTATTGACAATTTGTATATTCTATACATTTTATTATTTGCACTCTTAGATTATTTCATTCAGGAAATCTCAAATAAATACATTACAGTACATTTTTCTACAGACAATATTTATTCAATAGGTAGGTACATATTGTTTTTAACAAACACCTCGACAAACCCATACAGTTGTTTTTGTGGTTGAGAATCACTGACCTGCGAGAATAATAAATTGTGTGAGCGCTTATTTCTCGATAGTCAATCGCCAAATTTTAAGATACCTGGGCTTGTGAATAAACTAAAAGGTTGGTAAATCTAATTTTTTAATTAATAACTGCATACAACTTAAAGCTTAAGGGGAATAAATCCACGCTACTAGCAGCGTCAATCAAACTTGACAAATATAGACGTAGGTACGCGTACGTTCTCATTGTAGCAAAGTTTCAATAAGTCTTTTATCAATCTTTTTGAACTTGCGGAACACACCATGTTACGGAAGAGGTTCAAAGTTAGTTTAATACACAATAATAAATAATAAATTGAATTATATTATCATTCACTACATTAAATTAACCAGTTTTAATATTTTGCAGTTAAATGTGAAATATGCACTAACAAATTAACAAATTGTGTAAGTACCAGCTATACAATACACACAGAAAAAATATAATATCAGAGTATAGTCACAGAGACTCATTTGCCACGTCACTAAAATAAATTATAAGTACCTTCTTTTAATTACTTTTTAAATATGATTTTGAAATGATTTCATTTGTGTAAAAAGTTAATCGTATTCCCATAACATTATTGTTTTGAAAACATAGTTATAGAAATGTGATTGAAACGCGATTGATTTCTGATGATTTTCGATGGGCTTAATTCTTTTCAAACTCCATGTTAAAATGTTCATAGGCATAATTGCTAGATATAAAAGTCGTTATCTCGAAAACTATACTCTTTTGAATTTCGATTTTGCTAGGTCAACATTTTCAGAAAAATAATCAGCTAAATAACTTTTAGTGAATAAGTGGTCCTTATTTGAAAAACAGAAGTTTGGATCTCTGCAAGACACTCCTAAAGTTGTACGAAAAATCGCAAGAATTTAAAAATATATAGACTTCATAAAAAAATCAGATTTTGAATAACATATTATGCATCATTGAAGAACAAAATGGCATGTAGCTTGATGAAATCGCTCTATAAATACTACCGAGTGCAATGCTGTGTATACACACGCAGCACGCATGGTATATTGTAGGTAAAATATATAGGCTATTTTGAGTAGGTACATACTTGGGTTTGTTTCTAGTCTCGAGAGTCGAGATTATATTATCACAATACAAAATATTAGCATTATATTATGCATAATATAATACGATTATGTTATAAATTGTGTATACATAAATATATAAAAAAAATTACAATTTGGATATTTATTTTCCCATATTATATCGTGTATTTATCAGGCGCGGATCTAGAACGTATTTACGGGGGGGGGGGGCATCTTAAATAAAATTTCAGCCTATTAGTCTGATAAAAATGCAAGTAATGCAAGTCCATTTAAGCGTGAGTCTACGGGGGGGGGGCATGGCCCCTTGCCCCCCCCTTGGATCCGCGCCTGGTATTTATATTGTATTAATAAATATATTTCTAGAAACCCGGACGCAGGCGACGAAGGGGTAGGGGTAGGCTCGTCTGCGAGAGGACGTCATAGTATGCAATCAGTCTGTACCTCTTTACATCATGAGATAATATTTGCACACGAGATGCATATAATAACATATACCTATTTATATGAATATATATATATATATATATAGGTATATTATACAACATAATAGCTGTTCAGCGTGTGACTGATAACGGTGCGGATGATAATGTGTATGTAGATTACAGTGTAAGATCGGGCCCGCTCGTGTGAGATTGCAAACACTAAATTATAATATTTATACGTATAAACCTGTACCTATATTATTTTAACGGTCAGGTCGCGGTCCATATCGTCATTATAATAATATATACCTATCTATATAATAATAATATGACGTAGGCGAACGCGCGTACGGATTTTTTTTTATAATATTTTTTGTTCGCACGTCGTTTTCGGGGAAACTGAAAGAGAGAAAAAAAAATGATATCGAATCAATTGCCGGTCGTCGCGCCTGTGTGTATATATATATATATATATATATGTATATGGATAATGACCAGACGTCTTCGGCAGGCTCGTTTGTCATCGCACACCGGACCTGCCGCGCTGCAAGTACGCATTAGCCGTTTATTGCAGACGTCGCCGTCGCCGGTGCGGCGCGCCCGGGGGGGAGTGAAACTGACAACACGCCGCAACGGGGGGAGTGAAACTGCGCACCACTTGTCGGGGCGATTTAAACGATTGCGGGCCCGGATGACCGTGTAACGCATACACGAACGATATGATCGCGCACACGCACAGGCGTGCATATACAAGGGTGAATATCATAATATATAATAGTAATAATAATATAGAGAAATAATAACAAGTATATATTATTAATATAAAAGAGGAGAGTGGGTTTTTTGTTCTCTGTTTTTCGAAAGAAAAAAAATGAAATTTAACGCAATTGGCTCCGGGTACGCAACGCACGAACGTGGCCCGTGCAGAGTACTTAAAACAGCGGTCACAGGAGAGAAGCGCCATTTGTACTCTCCGCAGATTTCCTAGATTTCGTTTAAACGATTTAATTTTAGCCAAAACAACAGTATAACATTATAATATAGATTTCCCCAACTGGAGAAAAACTAATACCCACGGTTGGCTGTTAGTTCAAAAGATTAGGTATAAAGTGTTGTAGAATATCATAATATTATATTAGAATTGATTCATTATATACTAATTAATCGATGACATTATATTATATTATTATTTACATAGCTTATGAATGATGACATTTAAAAGTGTTGCATATTAGACTAAAGCCCATGCATCGTCTCAAATATGAGGAGGTTTATATGGTGCGATGGGAATTACAGGTTAGGTAATATTTAACATATTTTTTAGTTTGGTATTTTGTTGATATGGAGCAACAATGAGCTATTTGCGCTTTTTCTAAATACACCCCAAACATAAAGTCCTCCTATTTGAAATACTGCAATAGCCTTGAATGCCAATTTACACATTATATACCAGTATATACCACTGATACGATATGTCTCTGCAGCGTATATTCTGTTGTAGGTATAAATATGTATAGTATTTATATATGAAATAATACAACACGTCATATCCTGATATCCACGCATATAACAATATGACGAAATACACCTTTGATGGTGGTATGGATTGAAAAGTGACGATTATTCGAGTCAAAAACACCAGTCGTGGTGACCCGCTTTATAACTTATCATAGTTTATTTTATTCGCATGTACCAACAAAGTTATTATACCGTTTTTTTATGTACAACTAGAGATCATACCTGTAGGTACTGTAGGAGCCTACTTTATATTAGCTATATAATTGTAATAAGCACCACTCACTTGGATATCCAAAGCGCAGACGCGTACGACCTCCTCGTCTGTCACAGATAGAGTTCTGGCGAATTGGAGCTACTGTCGACGTGCTGGGCAGCGGCCGCGGCCGCCGACGAAGTGGACGATGACGACGAAGTGGCCGCGACGACAGCTGCCGCTGTAGCGGCGCTCATCGATTCCCTGGCTGCGGCCAGCGCGGAAAACCGCTGCTTGTACATGTCGCGTTCCTGCGTGATGCGTGACAGCTCCGATTTCATCTTGTGCAGCTCGGTCGCCAGTATCTCGTTGGCGTTCTCCAATTCGATGCGTTGGTTCATCCGCTTGGTCCGGCAGCTCTGCGCGTACCCGCGGTTTTTGAGCGTTCGCCGCTTTTGCTTGAGCCGGGCAATCTCCTCCTTGGAGATGCCTTGTAGCCGCTTGTTGAGGTCGCGGACCGGCAGCTGCAGCAACAGCGCGTCGTTGATCAGGTCGTCGGACGAGCCGCCGCTACGCGTGTACGCGCTGCTGCCGCCGCCGCCACGGGAGCTCACGGGCGACATGACGCTACCGCTTGACACGCTCAGAGGCCGGTTCTGGTGCTGGGACATCTGTCGTTGGGACGAGAACAGCGGCTGGTACAGCGAACAGCCATTCCCGTAATTGTAGACGACACTGTTAGACGAGCCCGGGCTCAATAACCCTTGCATCAGGAGGGACGGGCGACCGAAAGACGGCACCTTCCCGCCAACTGCCGAACAACTGTTATTGCTGTTGCTCGGCTGTATGACGGTCAAGTGTTGGTGTTGCACCATATTCCACTCCGCGACCGCCGAATCTGGCTGCTGTTGTTGTTGTTCTTCATCTTCTTGCCGTTCCTGTTGTTGTTGCTGTTGTTGCTGCTGCTGCTGCTGCTGCTGCTGCTGCTGTTGCTGCTGTTGCTGCTGTTGTTGTTGTTGATGATGGTGGTGGTGATGGTGATGGTGGAGCGGGTGGTGTTGGTGCTGGTGCTGGTGCTGTTGCTGCTGCATTTCTTCGGAGCCCGCGTAGTTCGGTCGCAAATCTAACGGCTCTTGTCCCTGACGCAACGACTGCGTCAACCACATCATTTCTTCCATAAATACTGGTTGCCGAATCGGCGTGGACGGCGGGGGTGATGAGCTCACCGGCGGAGTGTCGGGCGGTGTGCCCGGCGTGCTCGGGTACATCATGGAACCGACGGACGCGGTTTCGGCTCCCGACACTTTGACCGCAGGCGCGCCTCCGGTTATCAGCACGCCGGCAGCGGCCGCGGCCGTTGCCACCGCGTGGCCGTGTATCACCATTCCAGCACCCGCGCCACCCACACCGTCGATTACTTGGTTAATAGCGTGCTGGTGTCTGATGAGTGGGTGGTGGTGTGGGTATTCCTGTTCGCAACCCGGCGGCGTGAGCAGGTAGTGTGGCGGCGGTGGCGATGATTGTACCAACGTGGCGGCGGCCGCTCCGGTGGCTGCGGTGGCCGCTGCCGCCGTGGCCGTAGGCCCGTTACTGACGGCCGTGATGGGCATGGGCGGCAGACGGCCACTAACGCTGACGGCCCCCCGGCCACCATTACAAGGCGGGTGTTGTTGTTGTTGCTGTTGCTGTTGGTGGTGCTGGTGGTGATGGTGATGGCTTCCATGTTCCTGGTGCGGCTGTTGGTGGTGATGGTGGTGATAGTCGGACGACTGCATTTCGCGTTTCACCGTCGATACGTCCAGGTGGTCGAGCACGAACTCGTTGACGTATTCGTCGGCCAGACGTGGATCGTCAGCTTCCATGTTGATATAATATAATACGAAAACCCAGTGGCGTGCGAGGGGAAGCAGGAAAAAAAAAATTTATGCCGACCTAATATCACTTTGCTGTTACGGTGTTGTATTAAAAAATCAAGGAAAATACCGCATTGCGAGCACCGATAGAATTTCTGTGTATAATTACGAAGACGACAACGTGTGATAATTCACATCGCAGACGTCAACACTACGAACGAATGAAATGATATAAAGAACGGTCAGGATGATATATTATAATGCCGTCGAATAAAATATAAATTATAAAACGACGGTAAGTAAAACGTAGAGTAGGTGTACCGCGTGAGGCGTACGACACGCGCGACGTGTTCGGTGTGAGACGCGCGGCGTCAGGGTGCGACCGGTGCAGTTTCTGCAATGCCGACGGTGGCCTCAGGTTCGGCGCGCGCTCCCGATCACCGACGCGGCGCCGCGCCGGGTGCCGCCGGTCAGTGGGTGGGGCGGCGCACGCTCATTGGCCCGCGCGCATTGCGTTCCCGCCCCCCGTCGGCGGGGTACGGGGCCGAGACGGACACCTCTCGGCCACCGCCGCCGTCACGGCACAATAATAATAATTAGATCGACGGCACGGCGGCTGTGCTGGTTATTTTTTCTATTCTGCTTTTTCGTTTTCCCGGCTCAAGGTCGATCCCGTCCCGTCTCGCGTGGCCGCTCTTATCGTGTTCCGACGGCGGTCGCGATTTCGGGTGGTGACAGTGGTGCGATGCGGCGCCACCGCCGAGTGTGCGATTAGCTGAAAAATAAAAATAATTCCCTCGTCAGACGCCTTATTAAGGAGTCGCTGATGTATTAAGGTATAAATAGGCAGAGAGCGTATATAATGGGTAACGGGTTAGGTAATAGGAGAGTGGGCAACTGCGATATGGACCACCCGCCCGCAGTACAAATAAGGCAGTGCGAACCTTTCTCGATACATTTATACTGAGAGCACAGTCATTTTTTTGACTGTACCCACCCGGCGCGTGATCAGACCAAAAAAACAGAGTTAAAATCCTAATGTGTACCAACATAAATTATTGATAATTAACGCTTATCTATACCGACTTTCACCTTGTTCCCATATAAAGATAACATTAATTATTATTTATTATAATCCAACCTTCCTACCAAGTCTTGAGCTCTGTGCCTCAAAATATAACTCTGCACTGATACGAGTATGTTGTCTGCAGTAAATTACTTACATAAAATAAATTATGTATATTATGTAGAATGGCTAAATTCATATCATTTATTTGAAATTATTAATGAAGAATATTCTATCAAACCCTATTATAAAATAATTTTGAATTATTGTATTTATTTATCTGATGACTGATAGTGCTGTGGGGAGAAAATGGTGGTTATCGTTATAATAAGTGATTAAGTGTCAACCAATCCAAGATCATCTACACTCATTTTCTCTTTTATTAGGTACCTGCCTGTTCCAGGTTGGGCTCTCTTGGTTCAGGTATATAAATATAATATGAACTAGGTACACTTAGCAGCAGGTTAGATTAAGTTATATATAGATATATAATATATGATACTCGAGGACATCAAATATTCAAGTATAGCCAGTATATATGACATACATTTAGTTCGAAATCTAGAAAATATTATCTATTTCATATACAGCACAACAATATCACCTGCTTAGTACCCATAATTATAAATTTTTACTCAACATCCTTTAAATAAATTTAATGTTCAAATGTACACAAAAAGTTACCTACTCGTTCGTCTTGTGAAAATTTATAGTTATAATAATATTTAGAATATAATATTATAATTTATACCTATACACTTAATAATTATACAATATACACTATTACACTTATACAATATACATACACCGCGCACTACACACATCAATTACATCAATGCATAATGAATTGGCGTTTATAATAGATCAGTATTTGTCTTATAGCGATATAGTGCATATGATAAGGAATAACAATAATTATGAGTTATGACATAGTATTATAATATATTATGTATGGGACGGGACGATTGTATATTATAATATGTAGGGTGGGTACATTTGTTTGATTAAGATTGTCTGACAATACATTATATTATTCGATATAACAGTCTCTATGATTAATATAAATGTTGTAAATAATTTGTTAGTAGTAGTTATGCACTACTGTCTACTATCGACTGTTAAACCGTTAAAAAAAGTAAAATATGTTATCAATAAGTTAGATGACCTTGTCAGGAACATTTGATAATTAATAAAATAAATAAAATATAAAATTACATACAAATGAGTGTTTCACACTAAATTTCTAAATATTTTCAAAATAAATGAATTTATTATTATACTGTTTTACGCAAAAGCGTATATCGTTGGTCTGAAGTCGGTTATAATAATAATCTGGGGAGTAGTCTCTGCAGGACACTGCTAAACGAAGACTATATAGGCTCTAATTATGATCTTCAGAAAATTTGTGGCAGTAATGGCAATAATGGCATATATAATATTATGTGCAGTCGGTATTCAGATTTTATAACTCTCAAGTGAGCAGAAATACCTACCACCCAAACATTTTAATCCGAAATATGTGTAACAATATGTCACTGCCAACTAAATCGTCCAGATGATAATGAGTTCTAAAAAAAAAAATGAATCGTCTTTGATATGATATCGACCGTTCGATCGTTCTCGGTGCGATCGGACTTGGTTTACTCGAAGTTGAAAGAACCAGCCAAAAACGTCGAGCTATCCAATGATTAATAACATGATTAATTACACCTACAATTTCTAATTGGAAATTCCACAGGGACCGGGTAAGGGTTCAACAAATTTGAACGGCATATATATATATATAGATGCAGTACTTACAATGTATACCGATATACCTAGCTATGCGTGTATATTAATATTGTTGTGTAGGGGAGGCGTATCGATGTCTTAAAACTTCTCATCGCCCGCGTGTGCGCTGGAACGTTGAATTTATCCGAAACGATATACGATACGCCTACCTATTACGTACCTATTTTACCTATATTATACGTCGCCCACCATAATATATTATATTATGTGCAGTAGACGCGGTGCCGCGGTGGTACACTGACCTATAGAAATGACATATAAGAAATCGTATAACATATTTTGTCGATGAATTCATAATAATAATAATTGGTTTTGTGTGAAGTGGAAATATGAAAAAATATATATTTAAATGAAATATCGTTATTATCGTATACATATATATATATTTATTTATCTACACGGTATGACGTTAAACTGCATGTGTATAAATTTTTTTCTTTCTATGCAGAAAATCGTTTTCGTTTAGTGTGCTTTGTATAAGTATATGGTATAAATTATTATGATACGTATAGATACACTTCTTAATCTAAATAAAGATAGTGTGTGATTAAGTAAACATGCTGTATAAATGTACCTTCTATGTAAACGTTTTAGTACGTTAATTAGGTACCTATTGATTAAGTATAGATTGTATTAATTGTTAAAATATTTAAACAATTAAAGAAATCGATATCTCTACAATTCGATTGTATAATTGATGTGACTAATTTAAATGTACAATCAAATTATACTTAAAAATGTTGAATTTGCATAAATTCGGGTATCTATAATTTATCCTAGACAATTCACGATTTATTGCATACAATTATCTCGTACACTAGTTTTTAGAATGTTTAGGTACATAAACTTATATTTTTAATTGCTTTTAAATTGGCTGTGACAACACGCCCACTGATGTAGTTAACATTTAACAGATAACAGTAATCAATAAGTACCGATTGAACACATACCGCGTGCGATAAAGAGTATATCATCTACCTATTAAATATTAATATAATATACACATCAAAGAGTAATGATCATCTTATTTAATATATAGTACACCAATATTCCCTAATTCAAAGCAGTTAAAATATTTTTTAGTTTGATTAAATAGACATTAAATCTAACCCATTATTATTAATATATATATATACCATAGTATTATCGTATTGTTAAACTCACTTATGTAATAAATTGATTTGTTAGTGGTTAGGCCGAAGAAAACAAATTTATAAAATACAATTCACCTACCGTATATTTCTTTATAAAATATATAGGTAGGTACAGAGTGATTCAAAATGTATATTACAGCCATTTTATCATATAAATATTCAAAATAATGAAAAATATACAATACAAAAGTTTTTTCGATTAAAAACATTTATTATGATTTCATAATTGATTAGAATATTTTATTGGGGTTTTGGAAGGTCAACTTTAGAAATTCAAAAGAAAACCTATACTTTTTTAAATAGCTCTCAAGCATAGAGTTTTGCATTAACTAATGTTGTTCGTGCACTCAAATATATTTAAAAACTGTCTTCACATTATGTTTGCAGAACAATTATAGGTTCACATTTGAATTTCTAAAGTTAACTGCCCAAACCCCCCTAAAATATAGTAAACAATTATAAAATTATGAAATTATAATACATGTTTCTAAATCAAAAACCTTTTGTATTACATATTTTTCACTATTTTGAATATTTATATGATAAAATGGCTGTAACGTACATTTTGAATCACCCAGTATATATAAAATAGTAATAATCACCTTAGTATAAATGATCACACAAATTTCCTGATGCATAAGCAGTTAAATTTTTGTTTGGTTTGATTTGACATTAAAACGCACCCATTTTTATATGTAATATATAGAGATATTATAATATATTATTGCTAAACGTGAATATACCTAATATAATTATTTTTAAGTGATTAGGTTGGAGGAGAACAAATTTATAAAATAGAATATACCGCCTAATATATAATTACAACAAAGAGTAATGATTATCTTAATAGGTATTATACCTACACACATTTTGTAATGCATAAGTATTTAAAATAATTTTAGTTCGATTGAATGTATAGACAATCATTAGTATTATCTAAAATATAATTATTATATCTCATTGTTATACGTATATTAGTATCATAAATTGAGTTGTAAATGATTAGGTCTGAGAAGAACCAATTTATAAAATGTAATACAATTTGACAGGTATGTATACATGTATATGTATTTCACTTGTAAGAATATTAATTTATTGTTTTTACACCGGGCGGTATTTGAATGATCATTAAGTATTTCTCGAGAATAAAAACCAGTAGTTCTCTACGCTGTCAGCTTATACGCCTAAGTGTATAGTAGGTAAGTAATTTATTTTGACCAAAATATTGTTTAGATTTAATATCATAATATCGTATATTCATTTATAAATTTATATAATTAAATTTAAGAATAATATATGAGGCGAAATGCTAATTAGTGATAAGACTAAAATAATAGCGTTTACTGGGCTGTTCCCTCCAAACATTCACGAACAAAATGTTAAACGCGCAGATTTTGATTTTCACATACTTGTAAGCATCTATAGAGATTTCATGATTATGTAAAATGTGTCAAACTGTGCTTTAAAATAAGGTCGATGTGCCTTGTGGTATTCGTTGTTAATATATCAGCCATAACCCCAGCACACTGCCAAAAGCTCAAATCCTGGTACTCGCTGCATCATGCCCCCCTGCTGCAGCCGATTACCTATCGGCACCCAATCGATCGATACTATTTGAACTTTAAGTAAAATATATTTTATTTTATTTAACAAAACAATATTATAGATACGAAGAGGTACAGTCGTTATAAGCAATAAGCACGTATAATACCGAAAATATTATTTAACGGCATATTTTATTTATTATTTGTACCTATAATATGG